CTAGGGGGCCTCCCCTCCCTCCACTGCTCCGTCGAGCGCATGTCCGCTTACGAAATGTACAAATGAAAAGTGCGTCCTTTACTTACCGATCATCAAGGCCCCAACACTTGATTTTCAGCACATCGCATGATTACTGATTACGAGACTGACGCGCTTCTTGTCCGTGCAGCGAGCAGCACGCTGGGGACGGGCGCCACACCGCGACGGGCGCCGTCCAGGAAGACGCTGGCCGACGACGGGGATGCCGACGCCCACCCCATCAACTTCCTGGGCGCGCAGGTCAGCTGCACCGCCCGGATACGGCCCCGCTACTCGGTGCACAGCGACCAGCTGGCGGACGGCTGCGTCGTGCCCGGGCCGCAGCTGCTGCAGCAGATGCAGAAGGCGCAGCGCAGGGAGAAGCCCAAGGAGGCGGAGGTGAAGCAGGCGGTGCGGGAGGCGCGCCGGGCCGAGGCGGTGGACCTGTCGCTCCGCGAGGCGGCCGAGCTGATGCAGAAGCTGTGCGACGAGGACCTCTCCGTCAGCCCCCCAGCGGACTGGTCACCGCCACCACCGGCGTCCAGGTCGCGGCCGGCGCGCGGCCCGCCCTGCATGCCGCTGCCACCCTGGGCCGCGGCGCAGTGGACCTCGCAGGAGGACGACGACGCCCGAAGCCTGGAGCGTCTCCAGGACTTGAAGATTCATCCAGCAGAAGCGGCGGCGACGACGGTGGCATCTTCCACCCCGAGGACGCCGATCAGTAACTCCCGCCCCGCTGCCTCCACCGAGTCCAGACGGAGCTCCAGGAGGCCGTCGACCGACTCGAAGAAGGCCAAGGGCAAGTTCAACCTTCCCGCCAACCCCTACGCCACGATCCGCGGCAGCAGCCTGGACGACGCCGACGACGAGGGCGCTTCCGACTTCATGGTCGAGTCGCTCCTCGCGGTGGCCAAGAGCATCACCGAACCGGACGACGCCGTGGTCGGGGACGAACCTTTTGATCGCACCGTGGAGATCCCCAAGGACTACGAGCTGTTTGAGCGCTCCGTCCTCTTCGGCGGGGCGGAGATGGCCCGCCGCGACGCGCCGCACCTCGGCGCCATGGCGAGGGGCCGGGCCTCGGACACGGCCATCGCGTCGCGGTGAACAACGTCCCGTAATACCGTCCTCCTACGCCGCAATTTTCGGGTGCTAATACACGTAAAGATGGTAGTAGCTTTTAAAAATACAGCGTTATTTATTTTTAACTACGAATTACAATGTAAAATAATCAAACAAAAAAATTATCCTTGATTAGTGTCAGTGCCACATGTTCACCATGAAGAGGAAGGGGAAGGTGGCCTGAATCGCTTCATAAACAAAAATTATTCTTCTTTGATTAGTGCCACTTGATCACAATAAAGTGGCCTAAATCAATTTCAATACAAATACACGAGAACATACATTCGTCTTTATTGTGCTTCCGTTTGTGTTGGTCGTTGAGCCTAGGAGTCCTAAGGCAGGAACTCGGGTTCCACTTGATCGCACAGGCAGCAAAAAAACCTGCGTATTCGGCAGCACGCTTCGACACTCGGCGAGCTGTTTGGTGCAGTCCTCGGGTGTGTGGCTCGCCCCTAGAGGTCTGTGCCTGACCAGCACGACCCGCTTCAGCGCCCGCAGCGCGGCGCACTCCAGGTGACGACCAAGTTGGCCGCACGACTCTGGGAACGCCCTGAGTCCATTCGTACCGACGGTCAGCTGGAGCGTCTCCAGCGAGGGCGCGAAGGCGCACAGGATGGACTGCAGTGCCTCCAGCGGGAGTCCTTGCACAGACAGCCATGTCGGGAGCCCGACGGGAGGGAGCCCCCCCGGGAGCGCGGGGGTCTCGTCATCACCGAGCAGCTCCAGACGCTTCAGGTTGGGCATGGACAGCAGCGCTAGGAGGTGTTTTTCGTCAGGACAGTCGAGTCGCAAGTCCACCACCGTGGGTGCGACGCGCTGCAGATCCTGAAGGGCACCGTCGGGATCGCGCCAAGGATCGCATGTCAGCCGAGTCATCGGCTGCAGAACAGAAACAAAAAAAAAATCATGGCTTGAACGAAACGGGTTGGCTACAACGCTTTACAGGGCATATGACAATACCAGACACTCACCAATGGCGAATCCTTCGTGGGATCATGTTCAGGTGGAACTGCATCGACGGAACGTAGTCGTCTGCTTATGGGGCCGGGGCCGCATTGAGCCCTTTTCTTCTTGGACTTGGACTTAGGCATATGGAGGACTAGTTCGACTTGGTATGGCCTCAAACAGAAAATCCCCCTTCCTTGGTGTGTAGGTCCACTACTGTGTCCCTG